CAAGATAAAAGCATTGGAGGTATCCTTTCCATCTTTATCAGGAACTGGGGAGTGGGTCATGGCAATCTTACAAAGTGAATTCGTTTATGTTGTATCTTCATTCATCCGGCTTTCATTTGATTGATCCGGTGGTTTTTGGAGTGGCAGGGGTGGTTGCCTGCTGGAGTTGTGATGCTTATTATACATTATTACTTGGTCTTTGAGATTTTGGTTTTACATGTGTTCTTGCACCTTTTTGACTTTTCTTCTCCTGTCTATTTTCCTCCTTTGAGCAAAATTTTCCCGTTTTTTAAACTTTCTTCCAAATCAATAATATATTTTTTCCATTTTCTTTCCACCAGATTGGCACCTGGGCATTGTATATTGTTACTACTATTCTCAATTGTGTATAAAGTTTTCCCATAAAGAATTTTGTTTCATGAAGTATAGCCTTAAAGACATTTTCAAATAAGTTGTCCCCCAAAACCTTGAGGAAGATTCTGATTTTGCAAGATTTTATTACTGCATTGCTCTTTGAAATTCTTTCTCAATTTCTTAAGGGATACTTCTTAATAATATACTGGGAGGTCTGCATAGCAGGTTATTAAGAAGCCCATGGACTTGGGTACAGTTAAAAGTAAAATGGAGGCTAAAGATGGTACAGGCTACAACAATGTCCGGGAGATCTATTCTGATGTTAGGTTGGTTTTTAAGAATGCAATGACATACAATGATGAAAGAGATGATGTCCATGTAATGGCCAAAACATTGTTGGAAAAATTTGAGGAAAAGTGGCTGCAACTTTTGCCAAAGGTTGCTGAAGAGGTATATGGTCTTCTCAACAATTTGGCTGGTTAAAAACTTTTCTTATTCTGCAATTCACCTTTGGCTTTGAAGTCTTTACAGTCTTTTTGCGTTATTTGCCAACTCCTATTATTTCTAATGCTTACAGGAAAAACGGCAAGCCGAGGAGGAAACAGAAGCGAGGATGAACATGCAGCTTGCTCAAGAGGTAGCACATGCCAACATGGCAAGGGATTTAAGTAATGAAGTATGTCCAAACTTAGATTAGTAGAAATTGGATTAAGCTCTTTAAATTTTTTGGGAGCATTGCCATTGTGTATTGATTTATACATGCTATCTTTAGCATGTTGGTTTTAGGGATATGCTCTGATTGTTCCCTAACAATGCCCTTTCCATTGTTTTAGCTCTATGAGGTTGATATGCAGTTGGAGAGACTTAGAGAAATGGTGGTTCAGAAATGCAGGTTAGTTTAACAAGCTATCTCTTTGTAAATTGAACATGTTTGGCATCTTCCTTCATTTTTGGCAATCTGCAATTTTGCAAAACTAATTAAATTTTATTAAGGTAGTATTAATTCATTAATCTTATTTGACTTCAGGAGGTTGAATATCATAAGTGTGAGATGGTAAAGGGAGAAGGGATTAAAACATGAGTTAGTTAAACTTGAACTTAGTTATCATTATGTACACAGAAGGGAGATGGATGATAGTTGTCTGGCAGAAATTGCTCCTGTGATCTATGTGAATTTCTTCAGCTAAAAGCTCTTATTTTCTTCTTTTTTCCTTAGAATTCAAGGAAATAGAGTACTAAATGAGGATGAACATGTATCTTTATTTGGGAATTACTATCTGACTCCTGGTACAAACTTGAAATCATTTTGCTGGAATGTTTGAAGTATGTTTTTTTGCCTAAAATGCTATTTATACCTGATCAATTGTCAGTATGCAGCTAATTTACTTTTAGTTGGATGTCCCAGTGATTGATACTTTGGACTGTAATTGCAGGAAAATGTCTACTGATGAAAAGAAAAAACTTTGGGCGGCTCTCACCCAATTATCATCGGAAGATCTTGACAAAGCACTGGAAATAGTTGCGGAGAGTAACCCAAGTTTTCAAGCAACAGCCCAAGAAGTGGATCTTGACATAGATGCTCAGGTTTGATTTTGTATTTTGTTATACCTGATTGTTGACTTTATGGTTGATTTCTCACTTACCAAGATCCATGTTTTTCCTTGTCTTTATCTTTTTTTTTTTTTTTTTTGTTTTGTTGACAGAGTGAGTTGACATTGTGGAGATTGAAGGTTTTTGTGCAAGAGGCACTAAAAGCTGGAAGCAATAGTTTGGGGGCCACGAATTGCAACAACAATGATAATAATAATAAGAATAACAAAAGAAGAAGGGAGATCTGCGATGCCCTTGTCAAATCTGCTATGAAAAGGAATAAGAAACCTCCCTCTAATTCCTAAATTAGGAAAGGTATTGCACATGTATACGACTGTAGTGAACATAGGCAACTTGGTGGTTCAGTTTTCGGTTGAGATATTTAGGACTGTTCTGAACATCATTCTCTCTATTGGGAGAGGAAACCCATTTTGTTTAGGAGCTAGAATTGGTAATTCTACATGGGTGGATGATTACTTCTACTCCTCTGTATAAGAGTTGTAAGTTCTGAGTATTTAACTGTGTTTTTTTTTTTTTTTTTTTTGTCTCCTTGGACAGAAAAATATAGAGGTGAAATAGAATTTTAAGTTTTCTGAGTTAGAAAAAACATCAACTGAACAAGTTGGGTCTGAATAATTAAGATTGTTGGGTAATACAAACATGATATGAAAATGTTAAGCTGATTATGATGAAGATAATGTCCCAGAATTATTGTGGGATATAAGCATTTGTAGTTTTAACAGCTTTTATATTTTCATAAATAAAATATAACTTTCAAATTTTATAAGTATTAATCATCTAAAAAAATGTCAATTAGAAAAGAATTTGAAGAAAATGGTGAAGTCATTCCAAAGAAAATTAATTTATTAATTTCTTTAACAAAAACTAAAAGGTTACTTAATCTAAGAAAATATTAAAAAAAATAAATATTTGAAACGGAAAATTAAAAATAGTATTTATGTAAAAAAATTAAATAAAGTTATGTAAATAATAATATATATTACTGAATTAGTGTAACTAACTCTTTCAATAATCATTTCAGAATAAGAAGAGTAGTATCCAGAGACTGATCTACAAGAGAACTGTTGATTAGTACGTTCAATTTGTTTTTTTTTAATTTATTTTTTTGATTATTAAATTTTTTTTAAAGAATTATTTTATTAAATCATATTTGGTACTTTCAACTATTACTTAAGAAATATAAATATTGTTTTGTTTTCGCATTCAATTTATATTTATTTCTTTTTAAGTTCGTATATTATATCATAAAAAATTGTTAATAACTTAAGACTTTGACTATTTAAGATTAAGCTGTCTTCCATATTTGTTCCAATAGATAATAGAAAATTCTAATAAAATTCCTTCCAAAAATCAGGTTTAGTATTGAATTAAAAGTTTACATTTAGTTGCCTATATATAATTTTACTCTGTTGGTTATATTTTCTATTTTTTATTTTAACTGATTTATATATTTAAAATTTTTGAAATAAAGATTACAACAATATCAACAATGAATTATTAGTTTAATATATAATAAATAATAGATTATAGATAAATGTAGTATAACTTACATATTTAGAGAGAAATAAAAATTGAAAATATTAAGGACAAAAAAAAAGAAGAAAGTAAAATATACATATATATATATATATATATATATCTGGTCATCAACAGTTTATGGGTTGTCGTTTTTTGGAACCACCATCAAATTAAATCAAGAGAAAGATATGAAAGTAGAGAGGAAAGACACATACATTACAAATAGAGTGTAGATTTTAATATATAGACAAACAAAAACAAATTATAGTGGAGTGAAGCATACAGAAGATCTAGTGTTTATCCAAACAAAACAATTCGAGAGAGAGATGAATACAAATAATTAAGATACACAGACAAGAAAAGAATAACAAATGATCTTTAAAATTTTCTGGGTGATTCAAGCTGTGAAGAAATTAATATTACAGAGATGAGAATTTAGTGAAGAAGATGGTCAAGCTGGCTGCTGCTTCGGTGGTTCAGCCGCTGCTTCCTCCGCCGGAGCTTCGTCCTTGACTTCTTCTTTCTTGGGTTCTTGTTGTTCATCTTGAACTAAAATTTCTTTGTCTTTGGATTCAACTTCTTCCTTGGTCTGTGTTTCTGCAGGTGGCTCAGCCGCCGCAGCTTTATCTTCCACAATTACCAAGCTTGAAACTTTTTCCAGTATGAACAAAACTGGCCCTGAAACTGATCCTGATCCATACTTGGATGATATTTCGCTTACTGCCTTTGATCCCGGGAACTCTGAAACCAATTTAATTATTTATATATATTAAGTTCATCAACAAAGCACATAACATATACATATATATATATATGTATGTATGTATGTATGTACCGATTATAACGAGCTCTTCAAGGAACTTCTGGACAGCTGCTGACTGCTTTTTTACTCCCTCCTCCTTGGGTTCCTTAATTAAGCTCTATCCATCAATTAATTCAAACATGAAAGTTAACTAAATCAGCTAGTGATGAAAAAACTCAATATATATATATATATATCTATTATTAGGGAAATTAAAAAAAGAGACCTTGATTTCAGCTGATGTGGCTTCATAGATTTCAACTACTTTGGGCTGAAGATCTGTCTTCTTCTCTTCAAACTCCTCGTTGATTCCCTCCTGCAGGTTAAAAAAAAACATGATTTCATATATACCAACTGTAAAAAAGTACACCCATATTATATATTTAATATGTATATATATATAGCAGTAGCCGTAAACCTACACATGTAAGAGGACAATAATAATAATAGTTAAGAAACCTTAGAATCATCAAAGGACTTGCAAGCCTCCGCAACTGCAGCTTTCTTAGCAGGGTTCTTCTCGAACACCTTCTTAATCTTTGGAAGAACTTTTGATTTCCAGTATCCCATTTTTAATTCCTCAGATTTCTGCACAAGACCATATATTAATAACATATATACATGTTCTATACACATATATATAAACACACAGAGAAATACCCAACAAACAAAAAAGTAAAAAAAAAGCCAGGTGAGTTACATATTGATTATAATCATTAATAGCAGTTACCTGGAAATTCAAAACTGTTTTGAGTGTTTGATCAAGCTTTCTTCTCCAGCTCCTAGAAAAGAAATTCCAAATTAATAAAGCCGCAAGTGTTGTGAATTGACCAAAAAGACCTCACCAGGCTAAATTGGACAACGTGGAAATAAGGGCAAAAGAGGAATTCAATTGGTTGCCAGCTGGCTGTAAGTTCAATCAAAGGTGGCAAATATCAGTTGTGGGTCCCAATTTCAAATACAGGTTGATGGTGATCTGTACAATACAGATAATAATACATTAAAATATATATATATATATAAAACAGATACGTAAGTATATATGTTTCCTTCTCTGCTTTATAAGTGAAGAAAAGAAAACCAGTCACATGGCTGAGCTGGTAAACAATCACGCCGTCAACGACTTCCAATCCAAATTGCCTGATTGATATTCCATTCTAATTGATGCTTCTTCCATAAATACACATTATAAATATAATTGATAGAGTTTAAATTTAATTTCTTTTATTCTATTAAAAAATTGTACTTTTTTTTTTAAACAAAAGAAATATTAATTATTAAACCAACAAATAATTTATATTTCAATTGATTGCTTAGATATATATACATATATAATTTGCTTTTGAAAAGCTTGAACCATGAATTAAGCACAGCTAGAACATCCTTTGATTTGAAGCACTCACTTACAATTGATCAAATTATTTAGATTTACTTTAAAAAACAATGGTCATAAAGTGAATACAAATTTGTGGATGTTCTTGTTCTGGAACAATATTTGTAATAGAATTAGTAGAAAGTAAAAGTAAAATGTAAGAAGTTATGAATATTACTTGTCTTTTTTTATTGTTTAAACAAACTGTACACAATGTGGCAATGAGAATGCTACTGGAAAAGAAGCAAAAAACAATTATAAGAATCGAAAATCTTCAATAAGTTTTATTTGAAAAAAAATGTCTTAGAACATATATATATATATATATATATATATATATATATATTACAAAAGCAGAGATTATAACAATTTTATTGAAAACTAAAACTTTGGGAGATTTATATTTTAATATTTGAGTAATAATCATGAATTATCTATTTAATAACTAAGATAGGATACTTTATTCATAGGCACCAAATACAATTAAAAATCAGAAATCTAAAAAGTATAGTAAATAAAAAAATATATATATATAAATAGAAAGAACTAGGAGAATACTTTAGAAAAATTTTAATATTACTATTTTCCTTTATTATAAACATTTCAAAACTTTTATTTCTATTAGAAAAGATTATTAAATCTTCATATTACTTTTACTATAAAACTAGTTAAAATGTTTATTTTTTTTTATTGGTTTACATCATTCTCCTCCATTAAAATATATATATATATATATATATATATCTTTTCAAATAATACAAACTAAAGATGTCACTCCAAAAAAATATAGATCAGTTCACGAAATTAGTTCTAAAAAAATTCAAGAACTATCAGAATCAGGATATTTAAGCCATTTAATAGACTACAATAAGTACCACCATAAAAAGAAATAATAAAGGATCCATTAGGGATAGTCGCCTTCATTTTTTGTGGTTATAACAATGAAGGAGCCTTAGGTATATGTATTTTTGTAGAAATACTTAAAGACAAAGAAGGCTCAAATTGTATACCTTGATAACCAAATTAGAAACAAGATTAATATCCATATGAGTAGACTAATTAATCAAATATACATTACATCCAAGAGGTCGAATAATGAGAAAAGGGCATAGTCTCAACATGTAGTTTCTGTATTAAGTTTTTAGGATATTAATCAGAACAAATATGAATCATGATAAAATCACCTGTATGAAATTGACTAGCTTTACAGTATAAATTCATTGTAAATTTATGGTCCACATTACTTAGAGCAATCTTTCACCCGATCTTAACATATAAGTTGTGAATGTGTTTGACAGAGATTGACTATCAGGAGTAATGGGAGATATCAAAAATTAATTCAACTTATAGATCATGATTGTTGAAAAGTTACTGACAAAGTCAAGAATCTGTTTTTAACATTCCTTATATCTAGGAATTTATTTGTGTTTGCCTTTTTTTGATGAGCTTGTTGAGATAATTGTAGTAACATGTTAATTTTATTGAGATAATGATAGTAGCACGTTAGTGCTCCTTAAATAATTAGTTGAGATTTTTTGGAACTTTTTTAGTATTTAAATCTTCTACTATTAACATTTTAAGTGTGAGATATTTTAAGTTATTCATTGAGTAATATACTTCTTGTTCTATTTTTTTTTATACATATTAAGTGGTTGAGTTTTTACTTCATGGTATCAGAGCTTGGTTTTATTCTTATCAAAGTGTTTCGAGTTATGGTTTTTCCAGATTGTCTGCCAAGTGTTTGATTTTGTTCCTCAATGAATACGAGTAATGAAAGTAGCGTCGCTCAAGCCTCTGTAGAAAAGCTTGTTGGTAACAATTATAGTTATTGAAAACTATACACGGAAACTTATTTATAAGGACAAAATTTGTGGGATCTTATCTCTGATGATGAATCTCTAATTTCAAAGGATATGCCAAAAATGTTGAATTGCGTAGGAAGTGGAAGATAAAGTGTGGAAAGGCTCGTTTGTTTTGCGAACATCAATAAGCAAAGAGTACATTGAGTATGTTCGTGATTTGTAATCACTGAAGCAAGTGCAGGAGACACTTGATAGGCTGTTTACCTAAAAGAACACAATATGGCTGCAGTACTTGGAGAGTGATCTTGCTGGGATGACTCAAGATCACTTATTATACACAGACAGTGGAAAGAATTTGTGCCATTTATTTCTTTAATACAAAGGTCGGCAACTCAGCCCCTTTATCATTGATTGGAGAACCTGCTCTCAAATCAAGAAGCTTTGGTAAAACAAATGATCAACAACAACGAGCAATCTCTCTCTTAGGAGGAGGATGTTCTTTATACAAAAAACAAAGCAAAAGATAATTTTTCACTCAATCTAAAGGTGATAATAAGTAGTTTAAAACATACAGGTAGTCTAAAGAAAATTCAAAAAGTTGTGTAGGTGCGAAAAGTATGGATACTTAAAGTGCGATTATCGTGCAAAGGTGGTATGTAATCAACGTGGAAAACCTGGTCATATCAAATAGGATTATCATGCTAATCTTTTAAAAACAGAAGCAAACATTGTACATGAAAATGATGATTTTGAACAACTAAAATGGGAGTATTGCTTATCCATTGAAGTTACCAATCAACAAATTAATTCTAACATAGATGCAAATGTTAATGCTTCCATAGAGTACAACAAGGAATGGATTGTTGATTATGCAACAGGAAATGATTCCTTACTCTATAATGTTCACCCACATTTGGAAAATGAGTTGTGACAGCTAATTCTTTCTTTCCTGTATTAGCTGTCACAGGCTATGGAAGTATTATATGTTAGAAGTGTTTTACTTGAGGATGTTTATCACATTTTAGGCTTAAAGAAGAATATCACATCAGTTTCTCAATTAACTGATCATGGGAAATATGTCCCCTTTGGTCCAAATGATGTAAAGATTCTTTCAAATGTGAACCACATTGCAGCTAATGTTTTATTTATTAGTAAAAGAAAAGAATCATTGTATATATTATCTTCAAGTTATGCATATGTTGAAAAGACGTGGCAGAATGCTAGTATAACATTTTGGCATAATCGACAAGGACATGTTGGCTATCATTTATTGCCTAAAATCTCTATTGCAAAGCTTTTTGATGGAGTTCCCATCTTCTAAAACATTAGACATAATATTGTTTGTGTTAGCTATCAATATGGAAAATCTCACCACATTCCCTTTCCAAATTCAACAAATAGAACTTCTACTGCATTACAATTGGTTCATTCAAATCTCATGGGACCAACAAGAACACCTAGCTATACTGGTTTTCATTATTTATTGGTTTTCGTGGATGACTTTTCTTAATTTTGTTAGGTATACTTCCTTAAAAATAAGATTGAAGTTTTTTCAAGTTTTATTCTTTTCAAACAGCAAGTGAAGAAAGAATCTGACTTATTAATAAAGTGTCTGTGAATAGATAACGATGTGGAGTATATGTCTGATTCATTCTTTGAGTATTGTGACAAACATAAAATTCAACGCTAATTGACATGTCCTCAAACCCACAATAGAGCGGGGTTGTTGAACGTTAGTTAGCACACCTTATGACTATGAGTTTGTCATGGCTACATGCAAAGAACCTTCTAAGAGAGCTATGGATAATAGTTATTCAGACCGCAAGTCATGTCATAAATCATTTACCTCTATGGCCATGCACGTAATCATCACATTTTGAAGATTTATATCATTACAAACCCAATGTGAGTTACTTTTGAATTTTTGGCTCAGTTTATCATGTTTATATACCAAAAAATGAACGAACTAAACTTGATCCAAAGACAAAAAAATGCATTTTTTGTTGGTTATGACTCTCACAAGAAAGGTTGGAGATGTATGGATCCATATACAAAGAAAGTTTTTGTTTCCCGCGATATTGTGTTTAATGAAGTGTCATACCATTATGGTGATTCAAATGCTGATAGCAACACAATTGATCTTGCACCTTTTTTTTGGTGACGTGGCATCAAGTGAAAGGAGAAATAATATTTCTACTTTAAGGGAAAACACTCAATAACGAGAGACTATTGAGGTTGTAATTTGAAAGTCATCTATGAATAGAAGACAATTTGAATATTTAGCTGACTATGAAGTGCAACTGGATAATTACTCTATTTTTTTGTTTTGCTATGGTAGACTTTTGTGAAAAAGAGCCAAAATCCTATATAGAAGCTAAAGGTTTTCTTGAATAAGAAAAAGCAATGAAGGAAAAAATATCAGTGTTAAACAAGAATTGCACATGGGAACTGGTTCCAAAGTCAAAAGTTATTGAATTAGTCAACTATAAATGGGTTTACAAGTTGAAGAAAAAGATTGATGGCACTATTGACAAGTATAAAGCTTGTCTGGTTGCTCATGGTTTTTCTCAACAATATGGCTTAGATTATGAAGATACATTCAGTCCAATTGCTAAAATAGTCACAATTCGAACACTTATTTCT